AAGCAATCCCCATTGGCATAACGGCAAAAACATCTCTTCCTTCAAGTAAACAATAAACAATCTGTTCTAGTTCCATTTATAATCGAAAAAAGTGATCAATTTTCGAATTTTGAGCTTATCGAGGATCGTGACTAAAACACCACACGAGTAACATACGAGTAACACACAGGTACATACGAGTACATACGAGTAACACACGAGTACATACGAGTAACATACGAGTACATACGAGTAAATACGAGTAACATACGAGTACATACGAGTAACACACGAGTACATACGAGTAAAACACAAGTACATACGAGTACATACGAGTAGAATACGAGTAAAATACGACTAGTAAACTTGTTTTTAGTGTTTGTAGATTGAATACAGGCAAAAAGATCGTCTTCTCTGTCGAAAAACGTGAAATAGACTGAAACCGGCTATCTTTAAAACCGGCGGAACGGGGAATGGGGGAACGGGGAATGGGAGAACGGAAAGTGGGGGAACGGAGGGAATGGTGGGGCGGGGAGGGAGGAAATAGGAGACGGGGGCCGGGAGAGGTCTGCCAGATTCTATAAACCACAACTTTATAGTTTGTACAACATCTACTTTTAGGTATTCTACCTAGATAGTTAGATACATGACACAAACCATAGGCTTCACATATTTCACGGCATGGTTTGCTTTCAAAACCCTGTGAGCATGCACATAACCTAACTGCATCTATACTTAAATAGCACTAGGTGATGAACTTACAATCCTCACATAGCCTCAATCACAACATGTGGCTAGGCAAATATACGAACTACACAGTTAACGTATACCGCGACATACGACAGTTCCGAGACCGAAATACAGGACAACAGGGCCTTTTTTAAGGATTTTCCCGTGGGGGTATTTTTTGAAAAGGGACCTTAGATAATATATTAGAGGGGGATAGCAATGGCCGTGGGTCACTTGTGTGGCCGACATACCGCGAATGAATAGGGGGGTCTGAAGGCATTAACTCCCCCAGAAAATTTTTGAAATTTCAAGCCCAAAAATGCCATTTCCTGCCGTCTGAGCATCTAAATTTTCTAAAATTTATCCTAACTATAGTCCATTTGAAATAAATGAAGGAAAAAACGCACAAAGAATTTTAAAAATATTAACAATAATTTATCGTTACTTAGTGTTAGAAACACGTAGGATGCGCACGCGGTGACACAGTCCTTTAAATCGATTTTGTTAAACAAGGACAAAAGATAAAGCCTAAAACTTACGTTCCGTTTATCAATTTGTTATTCTTCGCTGGTTTGTTTGTATAAATTTAGAAAAAAAGGGACTTTTCCTGGGGGGGGGGACTTTCCCCCCCTTTTCAAGGTGGAGCACGTCCAAAGGCTTGCAGGAGAGTTCGGCTGGGTCCTTTAGAAACGTACTTGCATGCCAACTTAAATTGCTAACTTAAAATCTGCGTATTTTGAAGTATTTTGTATTTTGTTAGTTTTGCTTTGTCATATTTAAAATAGGATAATCACTTTAAGATATCATATGGAGCATAAGGACCGCCTTGGGCTTGGATCTAGTCCTTAAGTTTGTTTTATTATATGGCAAGTATATTAGTAATGACATAAGCAATGTTATTATTATTAATATTACTTAATGATCAGTCATAAGCAATGTGGATTGACTTTTTTATGATACGCTGTACTAATAAAGGAAAGCTTCGCTAAATTTCTTTACTAGTTTTAATTCATTGAGTATGTACTCGTATGTACTTGTGTTTTACTCGTATGTACTTGTGTTTTACTCGTATGTTACTCGTATGTACTCGTGTGTTACTCGTATGTACTCGTATGTTGCTCGTATGTTACTCGTATGTACTCGTGTGTTACTCGTATGTACTCGTATGTACTTGTGTGTTACTCGTATGTTACTCGTATGTACTCGTGTGGTGTTTTAGTCACGATCATTAAAAAAATCCTTTAAAAAATCAGTTAAAACTCTTCAAGATTCCTATTCTTAAAAATTCCTATTTTTAAGGATAATTACTTAAAGATACGGTAAAGTCCGTTCTGCGCATATATTCTGCGCATCAAAACATTCCATCAGTGGGGGAGTTGGGAGCAACCTTTGGAAATTTGTAATGTTGTTAATATTTCGCACCTTCCGAACTTTCCGCTTGAATTAAATCTCTAGTCTGTATTCATTTACAAGCATAACGAACCAGAAAAGTGATAATTCAGTATAATATATATCTAATCATATTCTACAACTCTAGCAGTGGTTCAAAATGTAAACAAAGCGTTTATTTACATTACGGACTTTACATCACCTTTAAAAGTGAGAGCACAAAGTATAGTAACCACGTAGCCAATGACCCGCACCTAAATTAAGGACACAAACCTATGAAACATTTCACACAATTTGAAAGACGTAGCACCCGTTACCTGTAATAGTCTTCGAGCTTTGTATTTCCACAGGCAGTTCTGACATATATTCTATACTTGATAATAGATAAGTACAACAACAACACGAGGCCCCATGGGGGGTCTCAAACCGGAAGTATATCATTACATCCTCCTTTCCCTAACATTAATATGAAAGTTTATAGTTACTTGAGTTTCAGTATAGTACTATAGTTTCTTTTAGATATCAATAAGATAAGATGTTTTGTATATATATAATAACAAGTCATTTACAGACTGTCGTCTTGTGTTCAATTTCTTTCTACATATCTAAACGTGTTGGGGGTACTACTATTCTGCCGCTACGCGTTGTGTATTGGTGGCTTTCTTGGGTGCTCTTAGGGAACGGGGTTTCGGGGTTGTCTAGTGTTTTCTCACAGGGTTGTTGATATGCTTGTTCCATTGGATCTTGTGGGCGTTCTCGTATTTGTGTTCGATTTCGTCTAATTTCTCCTCCTCCTGGTTTCGTGATAATGTAAGACCTTGGGTCTTGGATGTTTATGCTTTGACCAGGTTTTAATGGTTGGAGCGGTTTTGTATTTCTGTCATGGTAGTATTTCTGCGTAGCTTGCCGCTGTAATAATCTGCTAGTCACCTCCTCAGTTGTTTTTCCTTTCGGTATTTTCTTTGGCAGGTTGTCTTGGATTGGTCTACCGAATAAGAGCTCAGCTGGGGATGGAAGAGTGCTGTTGATTGGAGTTGCCCGTAAGCATAACAAAGCCATGAGTGGGTCTGTATTGGTTGCTCTTGCTTTTTTCATTGTCTTTTTCGTAGTCTTGACTTGGCTCTCAATAAACCCATTGCTTCTGGGGTAGTGTGGTGAGCTTGTGGTATGTTGGAAATCATATTGCTTTGCGAACTCTTTATATGCTTGTCCTTCAAAGTGGGGCCCATTATCGGATCTTACGATTTTGGGTACTCCTTGTTCGCTGAAAATTTCTTTCGTTAAATTCGCGATTGTCCTACTGCTGCTCTTCCCTTTTGGTACCTCTCGCACGAACTGGTATTTTGAGTAGTAGTCAGCGACCAATAAGTATTCCGCTCCGTCTAGGTAAAATAAGTCCGTGCCGATGGTATGCCATGGACCTGGCGGTATCTCTGTCTGGATAAGTGGCTCTTTGGGTTGACTGTTCTGCATTTCTTGACATGTATTGCACGATTTGCACGACTTCTCAATGTCACTGTTCATTCCTCTCCAGTAAACCGATGTTCGTGCTCTTAATTTAGTTTTTTCGGACCCTTGATGACCTGCGTGAAGCTTCGTAAGTATCATGCTCTGCATACTATGGGGGATGATAATACGTTGGCCTTTCATTGCTATACCATCTTCGGTGGTGATCTCATCACGAAAGGTCCAATAGGGTTTGAGGATTTCTGGAACCTGCTTTATGTTCGTTGGCCATCCATTGTAAACCACATCATTTAATTCTTTAAGCTCCGTATCTGTTGCACTTGCCACGCGGATCTCCTGCAGAATCCCACTACTAAATTGTGGACAGATTTCGTGTATTTGGACGTCCATGTCAGAGATGGGCTCTGTTTCCCGGGGCGAAAGTCTTGATAGGGCATCTACGATTTCCATATCTGCTCCTTGACGGTACTTGATTGTAAGGCTGTACGGCTGTAGGCGCAACAACATCCGTTGCAGGCGGGGTGGGGCTGATGTAAGGTGCTTAAGGTGGATAGATTCAAGGGGTTTATGATCAGATTGGACTGTAAAACTGCGGCCGTAGAGATAAGTGTGGAATTTCTCGCATCCGTATACAACTGCTAAGAGTTCTCTTTCGATGTTTGCGTATCGTGATTCTACGTCAGTTAAAGCTTTACTGGCAAAGGCGACTGGCTTGTCTTCTTGCAAGAGTGTAGCTCCCAGGCCTTTTGTTGATGCGTCAACTTGCAGTACTGTCTCTTTCTCTGGGTCGAAGTATGTTAGTGTAACTTCTTCAGAAATTAAATTCTTGATCCTGTCAAACACATCCTGTTGGCTTGCGTCCCAGGCAAACTTGCTCTCCTTCTTGAGTAGCTGTCGCAGTGAGGCAGTGTGGTGACTGAGATTCGGGATGAATGGTGCCATATAGGTGGCCAGACCCAAGAATGTCTGTAGTTCTTTGCTGTTGGTCGGTGGGGCCATCTGCTTCAGGGCGGACACTTTGTCAGGGTCTGGTTGAATTCCTTCTGGACCGCAGATAAGCCCATAAAACTTTATTTTCTCTTGCTTTATGTGGCATTTGTCAGGGTTTAGTCTCAGACCTGTGTCTTGGCACCGGCTCATCATGCTTCGTAGATTTTGGTCGTGTTCTTCTTCTGTTGTGCCAGAGATAACAATATCATCTGCGATACCCACAACGCCTCTACATCCTTCGAATGTTTGGTCGATCTTTGCTTGGAAGATGTCTTGTGACATGTTCAGCCCAAAGGGCATACGCTTGAAACGGTACCTGCCAAATGGGGAGTTAAAGGTAGCTAAATAGCTTGATTCTTCATCAAGTACCACATTCCAATAGCCACACTTTGCATCGACTATTGAGAAGAACTTTGCTTTGTGTAATTTTGGTAAAATTTCTTCCAAGGTAGGAATGGCGTGATGTTCTCTTAAGATAGCTGTGTTTAGGTCTTTGGGGTCTAGGCATAAACGCAATCGTCCATTCTGTTTCCTCTTGTAGACAAGACTGTTTACCCATCTTGTGGGCTCTCCTTCGTTTATTTTAGTTATGATACCATTTGCAACCATCTCGTCTAGTTCTTTCTTAATGTCATCTTTCAGACTGATTGGAACTCGTCGCGGAGGGTGGATAACAGGTGGGACTGATGGGTCGGTGAAAATGTGGTATTCTCCTTCGAATTTTCCTATGGGTATTGATCTATCAAATCTTCTTTGCTCTTTATTGGTTTGGGTATTGGTGGTCGTTCGGGGGTTCTGGTGGTTAGTGGTGGTTGCTCAGGGGTTCTTGTGGTGGACCATAGTGTGTTGCTGTGTAACACTTGTTTGAGTATGGCACAATTGAATTTCACAAGGTTGAGGTCAATCAACGTTGGTAGGCCAATGATAGCAGGGCCTTGTGTGTCTGTGACATAGAACTGTGCAGCAGATCTTTTGCCTTTGAATTCGCAATCAATGGTGACGGTGCCATGGTGGTGTAACTTGGATCCCCCATATGCTGTGAGGATAGTATTAGAATGTTTTGTAGCTCCTTTCTTGGGGTTGCCCTTCAGATCAATTTTGCAGGGGTACATCGCCCGGTATAATCTTAGGGGGAGTATATTCCCTTGGGCACCAGTATCGACTTTGGCTTTCAGTGATGCCTTTGCGTGTGTTTGTAGGGAAGCCTTGACTGTTGCTTTGGGCTTTGGATCTAGGTGGATGCCCACCTCTGCAAACACTTCGTCTGCCTTCAAATTTTGGTGGTTAACATTAGCTATAGTAATTGATTCAAAAGTTAGAGTTTCAAATTGGGTCATTGAGGGGTCACATTCTACCTTCTCGATAAGGTGTATTTGGCTCCGCCTCCCTTTTGATCGACATACTTGTGCAAAATGGTTGGGCTTGTTGCATAGGTAACAGGTTTGCCCTTTTGCTGGACATTTCTCTGATCTGTAGTGTTTTCTCCCACAGTTCCCACACTGGCTTATTTGCTGGGGGTACTTTTGTTCAAGTGATTGCTGGGGGTACTTTTGGTCAAGTGATTGTCTCGATCTTTGAGATTGACTGCCTTGGTTTTGCTGTCTGACTAAGTGAATGCTTTCTTCCTTGTTTTCAGGAGACATGCTTTTGAGTTGGGCTTGGGTTTTTCATAGGTTCTTGCGATTTGTATAGCTTTTTCTAGCGTGAGTTCTGCCCCTTCCATTATAAGTTTTTCCCTCACTTTGTTTGAATTTGTCCCAAACACAATTCGGTCTCTAACCATTTCATTTTGGTCGTGGAACTCACAATCTTGGGCTAGGAGTTGTAACTCTGTTGTGAATTCCTCTACTGGCTCGGTGGGGCCTTGTATTTTGTTATGAAACTTATATCTGGCAAAGACGGGGTTTGCTTTCGGATTGACATGCTTTTCGAATCGATCATAATATGTTTTTAATTTACCTCTGTTTGTTTCTGAGATATCCGACCATGTGTTGTATATATCCCTGCCTTTTTGCCCTACCCAGATGAGTAGGTAGCTGCATTTCTCCGCTTCGTTTTTTGATCTCAGCAGTCCAGAGAACATTAATTCGACATGTTGTTTAAAACGTCGCCAATTTTCCTTGAGATTTTCGCCGTCCCATTGCATCACAGGAAGTTCAATACCGCTAAGAGCCATGACTGTAGCTTATACGGTCGATATTCAGTAAAAATCGCACTCCTGACACCATGTAATAGTCTTCGAGCTTTGTATTTTTACAAGATAAGTACAACAACAACACGAGGCCCCATGGGGGGTCTCAAACCGGAAGTATATCATTACAGCAACATGTTTGACAACACGTATACCAGTTCGTCTACGCATAGTCTACGTGCGTGCTGTCAAAAATATCCAATTACTCCATAATTACTGACATAATTACTTACATTTTTAGTCACGCATCAACAAGCCCCCATCCATATATTCGCCATGACCCCGTGTATTTCAACACACCTTGCCTCACCCCTCCGTCTACGCCTGGCAGTCTACCCCCGCCCCTGTTCATCTGCAATCCTTACGACACGACGGCCTTCGGCGATATGGATACACGAGAATGGATACAGATGGATAGACGAGACATTGGGGGTGGTAAGAGGAGAAGGAGGGATAATATGAAGAAATGCCGTAAGGTGTATGGTATTGACAATCGAGATCTTTGGTGTACCCAATGCAAGTGGAAAAAAGCTTGCGTGCGATTTCAAATGGGCAGCTATCACTCACAACGACATTTTTAAACTTGTGAGATATTAATTGAAAATTTTAAATGAACGGGCTAGGGACTGGAGTTTGCAATGATTTTGTAGCAAATAGTTTATCACAAAGCAACGCCATTATAAACAATATATGTATATATCTATATACAAATTTTGTAAATAGTAATAACTTAATGATCATTCATAAAATGAAGAAATAAAATTGAGATGTAATTCTTTAGACTATGACATTTAGCATTCAAGGCTTTAACAATCTGATGTTGTAATTGTACAGAACTTACTGCTGAGTCGGTTGAAGGTAGGCATACGATACAGGGTGCAAAGGGGGCGATAATCGGGGTTTCGGAACTACATCAATCCTTAATAAAAATTATGGGAAACCCTCATTCCGTGTTTTAAAGATTCCGGTTTTTTCCTTCCCGTGTTTTACAGATTCCGGCTTTTCTCATCCCAGGTATTACACTGTGCCGACTTTTCTCATTCCGGATTTTACAGATTCCATATATATTTTTCGATTCCGGATTTTAAAGATTCGGTTTTAAAGATTCTGGGTTTTCTCGTTTCGGATTTAAAAGATCCGGATTTTTGCGTTCCTGGTTTTAAAGATTCTGGGTTTTTCGATTCCGGATTTTAAAGATTCCGTCTTTTTCGATTCTGTATTTTAACTATTCTGGGTTTAACGATTAGGGGGTTTTTCGATTCCGAGTTCAAAGATTTGAGGGTTTTTGGATTCTGGGTTTTAAAGATTCGGGGGTTTTCGATTCTGAGTTTAATTAAAGATTCGGGTGTTCTTTGATTCTGAGTTTAAAGATTCGAGGGGGTTTTGATTCCGGATTTTAAAGATTCGGGTTTTTTTTTTATTCCAAGTTGAAAGATTCGGGGGTTTTTCGATTCCAAGTTGAAAGATTCGGGAGTTAATTTTCGATTCCCAGTTGAAAGATTCGGGGTTTTTCGATTCGAAGTTGAAAGATTCGGGGGGTTTTCGATTCCAAGTTGAAAGATTCGGGGGTTTTTCGATTCCAAGTTGAAAGATTCGGGGGTTTGTCGATTCCAAGTTGAAAGATTCGGGGGGTTTTCGATTCTGGATTTTAAAGATTCGGGGGTTTTTCGATTCTGGATTTTAAAGATTCGGGGGTTTTTCGATTCGAAATTGAAAGATTCGGGGGTTTTTCGATTCCAAGTTGAAAGATTCGGGGGTTTTTCGATTCCAAGTTGAAAGATTCGGGAGTTAATTTTCGATTCCCAGTTGAAAGATTCGGGGTTTTTCGATTCGAAGTTGAAAGATTCGGGGGGTTTTCGATTCGAAGTTGAAAGATTTGGGGGTTTGTCGATTCCAAGTTGAAAGATTCGGGGGGTTTTCGATTCTGGATTTTAAAGATTCGGGGGTTTTTCGATTCTGGATTTTAAAGATTCGGGGGTTTTTCGATTCGAAATTGAAAGATTCGGGGGTTTTTCGATTCCAAGTTGAAAGATTCGGGGGTTTTTCGATTCCAAGTTGAAAGATTCGGGGGGTTTTCGATTCTGGATTTTAAAGATTCGGGGGTTTTTCGATTCTGGATTTTAAAGATTCGGGGGTTTTTCGATTCGAAGTTGAAAGATTCGGGGGTTTTTCGATTCCAAGTTGAAAGATTCGGGGGTTTTTCGATTCCAAGTTGAAAGATTCGGGAGTTAATTTTCGATTCCCAGTTGAAAGATTCGGGGTTTTTCGATTCGAAGTTGAAAGATTCGGGGGGTTTTCGATTCGAAGTTGAAAGATTTGGGGGTTTGTCGATTCCAAGTTGAAAGATTCGGGGGGTTTTCGATTCTGGATTTTAAAGATTCGGGGGTTTTTGGATTCCAAGTTGAAAGATTCGGGGGTTTGTCGATTCCAAGTTGAAAGATTCGGGGGGTTTTCGATTCTGGATTTTAAAGATTCGGGGGTTTTTCGATTCTGGATTTTAAAGATTCGGGGGGTTTTCGATTCGAAGTTGAAAGATTCGGGGGTTTTCGATTCGAAGTTGAAAGATTCGGGGGTTTTCGATTCGAAGTTGAAAGATTCGGGGGTTTTTCGATTCCAAGTTGAAAGATTCGGGGGGTTTTCGATTCTGGATTTTAAAGATTCGGGGGTTTTTCGATTCTGGATTTTAAAGATTCGGGGGTTTTTCGATTCGAAATTGAAAGATTCGGGGGTTTTTCGATTCCAAGTTGAAAGATTCGGGGGTTTTTCGATTCCAAGTTGAAAGATTCGGGGGGTTTTCGATTCTGGATTTTAAAGATTCGGGGGTTTTTCGATTCTGGATTTTAAAGATTCGGGGGTTTTTCGATTCGAAGTTGAAAGATTCGGGGGGTTTTCGATTCGAAGTTGAAAGATTTGGGGGTTTGTCGATTCCAAGTTGAAAGATTCGGGGGGTTTTCGATTCTGGATTTTAAAGATTCGGGGGTTTTTGGATTCCAAGTTGAAAGATTCGGGGGTTTGTCGATTCCAAGTTGAAAGATTCGGGGGGTTTTCGATTCTGGATTTTAAAGATTCGGGGGTTTTTCGATTCTGGATTTTAAAGATTCGGGGGGTTTTCGATTCGAAGTTGAAAGATTCGGGGGTTTTCGATTCGAAGTTGAAAGATTCGGGGGTTTTCGATTCGAAGTTGAAAGATTCGGGGGTTTTTCGATTCCAAGTTGAAAGATTCGGGGGGTTTTCGATTCTGGATTTTAAAGATTCGGGGGTTTTTCGATTCTGGATTTTAAAGATTCGGGGGTTTTTCGATTCGAAATTGAAAGATTCGGGAGGTTTTCGATTCCAAGTTGAAAGATTCGGGGGTTTTTCGATTCCAAGTTGAAAGATTCGGGGGGTTTTCGATTCTGGATTTTAAAGATTCGGGGGTTTTTCGATTCTGGATTTTAAAGATTCGGGGGTTTTTCGATTCGAAGTTGAAAGATTCGGGGGTTTGTCGATTCCAAGTTGAAAGATTCGGGGGTTTTTCGATTCTGGATTTTAAAGATTCGGGGGTTTTTCGATTCGAAGTTGAAAGATTCGGGGGTTTTTCGATTCCAAGTTGAAAGATTCGGGGTTTCGATTCCAAGTTCAAAGATTCGGGGGGTTTTCGATTCCAAGTTGAAAGATTTGGGGGCTTTTCGATTCTGGATTTTAAAGATTCGGGGGTTTTTGGATTACAAGTTGAAAGATTCGGGAATTTTCTCAATCCGAGTGTTACAGATTCCGGTTTTTTTCATTCCGTGTTTTACAGATTCATTCCAGATTTTGAATTAAAGTTTCCTGGTTTCCACGTTCCCCATTCCGTTCCTCATTCCGTTCCCCAATTATCCTGTGTTCTGTGTATATTGAATTATTATATTAAGCATTCCAAAATCCCAAGGGAATTCAGACCAATGCATGCGTTTGGCAGTAGCCAATGATAGCAAAGCTTTTGCAAGCTAAACCAATCAGAGCTCGTAGAAATCTGACAATAGCAAACAAATCAGGCGTGGTTTACACATTCGTGGCAAATTTGAATATTTCTGCTCGAGGCTTCGAAATGTAGAGAGTTAATACTGCAAGAAAACTTCGCTTTTATGAAACGTTTATGAAATAAAATCGGTGTGTCATGCAGAGGAAAAGGTCAGTATTAAATTTAGCTATTTTTAAAACGTTTTTGAGTTGTTCTTGTTAAGTTATTGCTGTTTTTTAAAACACGTGTCTATATTCATTGTAGTACTATTGAATTTGATTCCCATTCAAGCGCTTCGTTTCAGCGCTCAGTCGCTTTATTTTCTCAGTGTCTCTCCCTATTTTCCTAGCAGTAATGTTCAGAAATACCACAGCTTTGATTCATTTAACTCATATTTGGTTTATCTGCAATTTCAGGGCGAAAATTTGAAGAGAAAGTGAACTAATTTAAGTCGCCGACATGGTCGAAATGCCGAAGCACTTGGTAAGCATAATGTCGATTAAAGGCGTTTCCTTCTTGTTTGTTTCTCGTTTCAAGCTTCCCCAATACACCTAAACGTTTTCTAGCATTGCTTTGTAGTCTTATGAACACTCTGAGTCAAGTTTAGTTACAATATTGGCGAAAGATATTGCTGTTTTTGAAACACGTGTGTATAAAATAATATGTACTGAATTCGATTCCCAGCGCTTCGTTACGGCGCTTGGTCGCTTTATTCCTTTGGTCTTTCTCACTCATTACCTGGCAGCAATGTTCAGAAATACCCTAGCTTTGATTTATTTAACTCATATTTAGTTTATCTGCGATTTCAGGGCGAAAATTTGAAGAGAAAGTGAACTAATTTAATCGCCAACGTGGTCGAAAAGGCGAAGTACTTGGTAAGCATAATGTCCACTAAAGGCGTTTCCTTCTTGTTTTTTCTTTCGTTTTTAAGCTTCCCTTATAATATACACCTTTACTACAAGAACTTTTTTAGTAAAGCCTTGTAGCTTTATGAACACGCTCTGTCAAATTTAGTTAAACTTTTGTTGAAAATTTTGTCCGTACAGAGCGAAATGCCGACTCATAATTTTAGGCATGTTCAATTCGACATGCATTTCAAACATTCTAGCTTCTACAAACTTGCGTTTATGTACAAATTGTACTCTGAGAGGGAAGGCTAAGTTTTTTGAGTTTTTTGAGCTTGTCTAAGTTGAATTTTAATCCAGATCTTTTGAAGCAGGTCAAAGACGAAATATCCTCGTGGTTCATGTCATAATTTTATGCATACATGGATGCACGCATTCTTGAAAATTAAAATAAATTGGACAACCACACCCTGTGTAAACGATATTAGAGAGGTTAAGATACACCGGTTTCGGTGTACGGGTACGAGTAGTGCCATCTTGTTTTACTGATGTCTGTAATTCGATCATACTTTTTCTGTTTTCTTGCAATAGACAATGATATAATGCGAAAAATGTGCACCTTAATTACGAGTAAAGGTACAGACATCGACGAAAATATTGCTAACCAAAATCATGCTACCCGTAGACGTACACCGAAACCGGGGTATCTTAGCCTCTCTATTAAATAACTCTTCGCTGTTTTGAAACTAAAAATTCATTATCCAACTTTCTTAGATTGCCTCAAATTCGATCACTCTGACGGCAAACAGTACAGAAAGACCTCTGCACAGATTTGAAGAGACGCTCGCCTAGCAGTCGAAGCAAAACGAGAAGACGGGATGGCAAAGGCCAAATGAAGAGGGATTCAAAAAACTTGATACCATAGTCTGGTAGTACCTGACGGATCAGTAGATACACCCATCCTCATACGATTTCATTCAATCAGCCAATTGTGAATGAGATGCAAAGACCTGCAAAGCGACAGTCGACGCCGCACCATCCAGAGACCATAACCAATACGCCATACCATCGTGAAAGATGTTCTACATTACAGAAGGTATATTTTCCTCGTGATTCTCGTTCAGTGCGTGTTCGAAAGTACGTGGGGACCACCCTGAAGACGCCCAAATGCACAAAACAAATTTAAATATGGCAAAATTTTCCTTAATTTCGCAATTTATTCAAATTTTCTACATTTCTTGGTATTTGTGAAAAGCTCTTAACGAAATCGAAATGTTTGAAATTCGGAAGTTTCGATCTGGGAGTTTGTTTATTTGAAAGATATTTGAAATGAAATTTTGAAGTTTACATCACTTTGGTATTTGGGTTAAACGCTAGGTAAAATCATGCCAGATGAGTGGTCAATCATTCGTCGAAGTTCGGTGATACTTGGGCTCGGACTTTCCCGACCTACAGTTGAGTTGCTCTGATCGATTGTCGTGATCAACTAGCGCAAATGTAAGGTCTGGCCAACCTTGCGTTTGTGCTTTTTGTTCGTAGCATGAGATTGGGACAGCTCGCCTGTAGGCCTGGTAAGATCAAGCGGAAGTACCACCAAACTTTGATTTGTGATCGGCTTTTTGTCTGTCTGGCTTTATCCAGCGTTTTCCCGTTATCATTTTGATGTCGACTTTGGGATTTTGGCTTGAATATATTTAATATAAACATTCTTTGAGGTTTAATCTTTCAAGAATTTCATAGTTTTTGACTAGTTAATGTGTTTCTCGCAGATACTATAATTGTATTAAAAATATTGACCAAAAAAATTAAAACTGACCAAAACGTCATTTGAGGTGTCGGATGGGAGGTCCAGTGGCAGTCGTAGCGGATACCAATGGATAAATACGGATTACTGTGACACTGTGTACTATTGGAGATATTGTGAACATTTATGGATAATTGTGAACATTAATGGATTACAACAAACACTTATGGATTATTATGAACATTTGTGAATAAAATGTACCTCGCGATCGACGGTTACCTACCAATGTACCTTGACAACGAAAGCTGCACGACGGCAACGAGATGACTGCCTCAAGGTTAGAGGGTTTAGTCTGATAACAAGCTGTTGTTAGCTTGTTATCAGGCAAAAGTTAGCCTGCTATCAGGCAGTAGTTAGCCTGCTAACAGGCAGTATATCTGTAGGATTCATACCCAAGACTCTAATTTGCATGTTGTCGGTGAAGTCTATGGGTTAACCGGTTTAAAATTCCTGGCGGTCTGTGGTTAGTAGTACATTTGCACGCAAGGTTGATTTTTTATTCTGATGTTTGCATGCTAATAAAAAATGAGATATTGACCTCAGTTAATCAGAATTTCGACATCATCTGAATCGAAAGTCAATCTTATGAGGTTAACATTTGAGCTTCCGGTCACGTGGTTCTTTGCATGCACTCGGTTCGGTTATTGGTGGGTTTCAGTAAGTGTTGCAGTCCAGACGATGGAGCAATTTATTTGCTTCAAATACTTGCTGGAGCAATTTATTTGCTTCAAATACAAGACACATAAAGTAAAAAAGAGTGAACATTATTTTTTCACTCTAGTAACTCGTAGTGAGACCCACCTAGATATTTGCGGTCTGTTCGTGCCAATGTTCTTCTCTTTGTGTAAATGTACTGCTTAGGTGTCTCCGTGTCTGTGCATGGATAACGCGGCGCGCAGCTAGTATCCAGAATATAGGCAGACAAGTAAAACTTTGCCAGACTTAAAAATTTTGTTTATATCAGTATGTTATGTTCATAAATGTATAGAAATATCATGAAATGTGTTAGGCTTTGGCTTGGGGTTAAATCTAACCCTAGAACCTTAACCTTAATCCATTACATGATCTGTATATTTGTGTACGTAATATATGGGTGTAGCCAAAATTTTATTGAAAAGGTGGCACAGTTTTCCTTGAGTAGGATAACTAAACTGGGTGCAAATGGTATCCATAGCTTAGAGGGTGCAAATGGTACCCGTAAGAAGATTGGTGGATATTTTTGGACAAGATGTTTTGAAAGATCAGCTTAGGATTGTAATGACATAATTATTGTAATGATAAATAGTGTAGGCTTACGTGAATAATAAATTGTCGACTCGTGGAAAGGTGTATCTTTCATCGCCCGTAGTGCATGTATATCGCTGGTTTCGAACGTTAGTTTTCTGCCCCGGGTTATATGAAAACAGTTCGCTACCAGAGATTAGGTCCCCTCTCTGTTATTGGCACTCGACGATGGAAGAAATTAACATAAGGCATGCAAACCTTACCCCTGTTTGTGGAAGCTCACCAGGTGCAATGGCACACTAGGTTAAGTTAAGCTAGGGGCATGACCGAGACTCCACATTCGGGGGTTTCCCTTGCAGGTTTTTTGAAAGGGTATGTGCGCGCGCGCACTAATTAGGAAGGTTAGGCAGCTAGAAATAGGGCGCTTTGGCTGCTTTTTGAATGTATACTATATGAGGCATGTACACTATGATTCATTATCGTCATACTTTTGCGCCAGTAATTCTGAGAAGTATTTAGCACAACAGGAAAATGGAATCTGTCTTCCTGCTGAAAAATACTTACAGAAATAATTCAAAGTGGAAAAAAAGGAAATATTGCGAAAAAGAGAAAAATAAAAAGAAAACCGCGAAGCCACTTTGAATATAAGCAACAATAGTCCAAGAATACTCGTTGCAGAAAAAAAACAACAAAAAAGAAACAATTTTCTGCCTAAAATATCTTGGATTAGGAGCTTAACGATAAGAAACGTAGTTCTCGCTCCAAAGTGGAGAATAGGCTCGTTTCTTTAGGTTACTAATGCAGTTGCGCGCGCGCTTTATAAATTACACTATATGTTTTCAGTTGAAAAGACCGCCAGGGAAAATAGGGTGTTTTCATGTGTTGCTTTGTTGACGGACAAGTTTTCAAAATAATGGTTTTCTTGTTTCCTTGTATTTCGGCACTTTAACTTGTTCCCAAACATAGCTGCCGTGAAAACACTCTGCAGATCAAGTTCATATATGGTAGCAATAGCAATATAGAATGTTTGCCATGTTGCATTCCGTGTTGTCTTGCATTGTTCATACATAAGCTTGGTCGAACCATGGATCATAAAAACACCATGGTCGAACGCAGCTAATTAACATAAGCAGCGCGCGCGCGTGCGGCTGTAATGCGGAGTACAGTCACTGAGTGTACTCCATGTGCAAATAGTGAAGTGTGCTCTATATAGTCTAGACTTGAAACAAGGTTTCATGCGCCAAGTTTCATGCTTATTAAAATTAAACGCGCTACCTTGGATGCTAGGTAAAATTAAGGGCATAAAAATCAGTGCATGCTTTTTTTTAAATTGAGTGCGCGCGGTGCAATTTTCTAGCGCGCGATAGCAAAATACGCCAAAAATCCAAATATAGAAATGCACACATCACATCTTCGGAATGCATCCAATTGTCCTAACACCTTTTACAAACTATCGTAAAATCTGTTGGGCTGTTGGATTCATTTGCCACGCACGTTGTCCTGAACATATTTGAAATATTTTCAAGTTTCAAGGTTAAGATAAATATACCTTATGTGGAACAATTTGTTCATAAAAAGGGATATATTTATCTTGCGCAATCCGTAGACTGAATTTTCGGGTGGTCTACAATGTTTTATTGAACATCTCGTGAGATTTTTTTTTTTTTTTGCAAGATTTTTACCTTTCTGGATTTTGGTAGGTATGGGTAGGTATGGTATATTATAGTTAATTCGTCTGTGTAAGTGGGTGGGGTTCCCCCTGCGGTTTTCGGTATCAGGACTCATAATCACCAAGGTTTTTCACCAGATCTCGCCATGCACAGCAACCGTGCATGGCACTTCTGGTTTTCCTCGGGTGATTATGCATTTTTTCGTTTGGCAAAATTCCAAAACAAAAAACAGTGTCCGTGTTCGGGACGAATTTAGTACTGTATAGAAAAAATGGATTATATAGCTGTTGTATATTTTCATGTTCGTCGTTGAGTGCATGTGTCTTTATATTCTGTGAATGGAGTTGCATGCTCTGAAATATATGCAGTAATTATCATATTCCACATCGTTAGACCCCATTTTCCATGTTTTGAATTAAAAAGTGGTTTGCAAAGGGGGAGCCATCTACATGACTCAGGCATATATGTTATTTTCGTCAACAATTTAGATCATTCCAGAAAACATCCATACCTCCCCACAGAGGAAATTAAATTAACCCGTTTACCCTAGAGCTTCGAACATCCTAGTACATTTACTATTATCAGAAACAACCTTTTATCCCCTCCCCCTTCGGATAGCAGAAATTTCCTCCTTGGGGATAGGGTTGATTTTTTTGGAATGATTCAATTTTGCTGAAATACAAAGTTGCAGATACCAGTAATAAATTAAAATTTTCTAACCAATATAGTACCAGACAATTAAATTTCCTGATCGATATAGGCACTAATCTAGTCTTGAAAATTTCGACAACACAGTACTCGTTCATTTCTGGGTTGAATTCCCAGAACACTGTTTAAAAGTATTTACCAAAAAAAGTAATGTTTGTATACTTTCATGGCATATTCTCGCAAAAGTTCCATTAGGAGGAACCGCTTATTATCTATGAGGGAGGGTGGGCCGGTTGGATTGGGAGATGGGGGCAGAGTTTTAAAATAGTTTCTTGGGGTGGGCCAATGTAATTGTGAATGAGAGGGGACTCAAGCGGGTTAGGGGCTATAGATCACATTTCCCAACCCCACCTTATCAATCTCATTTCCAGTTATATGTTCTAGCCCAATTCCCAGTTCCAACAATAATCTTAAAAGAATATCCCTGGCCAGCTGTATGATCACCCATGTTCAAACTGAACTTGTGCCCACAGCCATGGGGAGAGAGGGGTGTGCCCCCCCCCCCTAGATAGTGAACACCCTTTTATGTTCAACCTGGACCACAGAGCCCAGGAAATGTACGTATTCGCTTAAAACTGTGTTAAAATTAAATGCGCATAAAGTTCGCCTCACTTTTCTTTCTAGCGCTTTAATTATTGGGTGCCGAGTGGGTGTGTGGCAAGACGATGACGTAACCATGTGAGTTAGCATACATAATGAACTACACAATATTATCGCCAATATCACTAGATAGCAGAGTCAGTTTGTGCGAATTTTAAGTACTATCTAAAACACACGTAGGAGTGTTTTATCATATTTAAAATGTGAGGCATTTCAGAGATATGATATCTCAGATATCACTATGGCAACAGGCATTTCAGAGATATGATATCTCAGATCTTTACATCGAGTATTACGCTTACCTAATCATAGTAATGTCCTAATTTACATGATTTTTTTGAAAATTTGAGCGGCCATGTTGTTTGAGCCAGAACAAGCTTGGTTACATGAAGTAAGTTCCGAACATGAAAATAAAACAGACATCCAGTGCTGTATACAGCTCAGTGGCTTAGACAACTTCGGATTTTCCCGATGTTCGGCCGAACAACATATTTTTATAAATTATGAAATAATACTTCATATTTAATAATTTTGTTGATTTTAAAATGTTCAGCGGGCAAAAATTGTTGTGTTGCAATCATAGTAGGGTCGAACAATATGTGGAAAGCGAAAATTAAGAGATTAAAATTGGATTTAGTGCCTATTTTTGAAACATTTGACACCAAATATAGTGCGCATGCTCAATGACACCTGTGACGTCAGTTTCATACGGGACTTCGCCTTCACCCACAGAGGTTTTGGCGGGAAAATTTGTAATGTTTGAAGAAGACAAGATGGCGCTAGTTACTTCGTGTGATTCAAAGGGCATTTCTGTTCACAAAATACCCGCTTGTTTTACGTTATAACGACTGGTAGTTTTGGAAATTATAATTCAATGGATAGGGAAAACGATTCGGTGGTAAAGAGAAAAATACGTGCAGTTTATATTGACTTTATATTGTGATGTTATTTGTTGTGAAAGACGACCGGAAATTTCGCTACATCGCTGTACTGGAAATTCGACCATGGATAAAGAGACAACGCTTGAATAAAAGAACTGCCTGTCAATGGTAAGTTTTTAATTTAAAGGGTTTTCACTTTTCGATAGGGTACAGTCCGTATGTAAACAAAGCCTTTGTAGTCTTTGTTTACATTTCGGTATTTAAAATATTGAACTTTTATTCGACAACTATTTAATATAGGTCTTTATAGTTTCATGCTTCTACAGTTTAATAAATGATGAAGATGCAACAATCAGGCTTTGCAAGAACATAAAATTAAATAAAAACCGAATTAAAATGACAATTACCGACAACAAGCAAATACATAACATACTTTCAAATTGTATATTTCTTAATATACACGCGTAAAAATCTCACATCTTGTAGCAAGTCTGCCAACAAGCCATCAACAAGTTGTATTCGCACTGCTTGTCCCAAGTTGTCAACAAGTTTGGAACAAACCGTTCACAACTTGTAACAAGCTTGTTGATGCTCTCAGACTTGTTGCAAGGTTGTTCCAACAAGTCCAATACATTCATGATATAACAATACTGTTACAACCTTGTCTGGTCAACCTTGTCTGGTCAACCTTGTAACATTCTTGTTATATCATGACTGTATCAGACTTGTTAGAACAACTTTGCCACAAGTCTGATAATGCCATCAAGCTTGTTACATATTGTTAACAGCTTGTTCCAAACTTGTTACGACAACTGGGAACAAGCAGTGCGAACACAACTTGTCGACAGCTTGTGAACAGATTTGTAACAGCTTGTTTGCAGACCTGTAACAACTTGTGTGTTTTTACGTCTGTAGTACACGCGTAAAAATCTCACATCTTGTAGCAAGTCTGCCAACAAGCCATCAACAAGTTGTGTTCGCACTGCTTGTCCCAAATTGTCAACAAGTTTGGAACAAGCTGTTAACAACTTGTAACAACCATGTTGATATTATCAGGCTTGTTACAAGGTTGTTTCAACAAGTCCGATACAGTCATGATATAACAATATTGTTACAACCTTGTGTCGTCAACCTTGTAACATTCTTGTTATATCATGACTGTACCAGACTTGTTAGAACAACTTTGCCACAAGTCTGATAATGCCATCAAGCTTGTTACAAGCTGTTAACAGCTTGTTCCAAACTTGTTACAACAACTGGGAACAAGCAGTGCGAACACAACTTGTCGACAGCTTGTGAACAGATTTGTAACAACTTGTTTGCAGACCTGTAACAACTTGTGCGTTTTTACGTCTGTATTTGTATGAATGCATGGCTGTTATGAGGAAACCCAAAAGTGAATTGATGTAAATAATTTCTAGCTAGTTTCTGTTCATAACTTCGTACTGTGGTACTAAATTGAAATTCTAATAAACATTTTAGATGCATTATATACAGACATACATTTTATAGGACTTTTAGACTGGAAGTAAACAATTTTTAACAATTTTAATAACTCCGTGACAATACAGATAATTATAAGAATACAATGAAAGTATGTACAGTATTTGCTTGTTGTCGGTATTTGTGAGCTTGTTGTCAGCTGTTGACGGTAGTTGTCGGTAATTAGTATGTCTGCTTCTGCGTATGTTACACATAAGGGCAGGGGTATAAACCTTATCTTACACTGATATAGGGGTGAACGCCTTATGTTACACATAGGAGGGGCAGGGGTATAAACCTTATCTTACACTGATATACGGGTGAATGCCTTATGTTACACATAGGGGCAGGGGTATAAACCTTATCTTACACTGATACAGGGGTGAACGCTTTATGTTACACATAGGGGCAGGGGTATAAACTTTATCTTACACTGATATAGGTGTGAATGCCTTATGTTACACATAGGGGCAGGGGTATAAACCTTATCTTACACTGATA